TTTTACTAAGGGAAAATCTTGCCTTACTAATATTTTGACATTCTTTGAAAAGGGTACTGCTTATGTAGATGAGGGTAAGCGTGTAGATGTGGTGTATCTGGATTTTCAAAAAGCATTTTACAAAGTGCTGCATAAAAGGCTTGTAAAAACATTTATTTCTATAGGTGTGGGGGATAAGTTAGCAAACTGGATGGAAGAAAGCAGAGGGTTGTTACAAATAGTTCTGTCAAACTGGATTAATGTCACAAGTGGGGCACCTCAGAGCTTAGTCTTACTTTTAGGACCTTTGCTCTTTTTGATTTATATCCATGACATAGATGAAGAAATGGGCAATAAATTACTTTAATTTGCAGATAATATTAAGGTCTTGGGTGTTGCTAGCTGTGAAGAGGATGCTGATGATTTACAAAAGGACTTGGATCATTTAGTGAGTTGAGCAAATATATGGCAGACGGGTTTTAATTCTAATATATGCAAGATAATGCATGTGGGTTATCATAACTTGAATTGTAAGTATAATTTGGATGGGAATAACCTTAACATTATTATGAAGGAAAGTGATCTTGGCATAATGGTTGATAAGTCTCTTAAGTCATGCAAGCAACCTTACCACTAGCAACAGCACACAAATATGATTTTAGGTTGTATCTACAGAAATATTGAATACAAGTCTAAAGAGGTTATAATTTCATTGTACAGGTCACTGGTTAGGCCACATTTGGAATATTGTGTTCAGTCTTGGGCTTCGTATCTTGGGAAATACACTGAATTTTTGGAAAGGGTTCAGAGAAGGGTTACTAGAATGGTGTGTGGGATGGAGGGATTGTCATATGATGAGAGGCTGAAATATCTCAAATTGTTTTCTCTTGAAAAAAGAAGTTGAGGGATCTGATTGAGATGTTTAAGATTGTAAAGGGAATTAATAGTGTTGATGCATAATCTCTTATCTTATTTAACAGTAAGAATAGTAGGACTAGGGGACACAAATATAAATTTCGACAAGGTAGAAGTCATCTTTATCTAAAACAGTTTTGTTTTTCTAAGGGGGTGGTTGGTCTTTGGAATGGAATGCCTTGAGATGTTGTAGAGACAGTAAATTTAAGTGAGTTTAAGAAAAAAAGCTTGATAAGTATGTGAATGATAAGGGCTGGCTTTAAGATTTTTTTAAAATTATTTTAATTTAGTTTAGAGGATGGAACAGCCAAGATGTTATGTTAAATAGTAATAACTACCTTGGCAAAATGTAATAAGCATGATACATGAAGCTTTACATGTGGCAGTTCTGCTTTGGTTCTTAGTAGTTTGTTGAACAGGCTCAACCTCGCCAGATGTTCTTAGATATTTGGCCAAAAACTGCTGACAGTGAAGATACCCAACTGATGACCATAATAAAGACTAGTTACTATCAATTGTTGTTGTATACTTATAACAGCTGTTGTGATAGAAGTTTTAGCATAACTGGATGTTTTTTGTTGTCTTTCAAAATTTGAAGTGCATACTGGAGGGATTTACACATTTTTGATAAAAAAAAAGTTTAGAAAAAAAGCTACATTTACACACCAGATATATAAATATATATATATATATATATATTTAAACCAAGGTTTAACCTCTGTGGCTTCCTCAACTTGTGTATATTAACCTTGAGAAAGCTGCAAAGGCGAAAAGTTGGTTAAAAGAAAAAAAATTATACATGTATGGAATGTAAAGGTCAATTTTCTAAACTTTTTATCATAACTGGATGTGTTGAATCCAAAAATATAGGTTATGAAATTGTAATTTTTCAGGAAAGACTTAAAATGGAGCAGCAAGTAGGCAGTGGCAGATCATGAGGAGTTTTGGATCTATATTATATTTGCCACCTCATATTTAAGGAACAGAGAATTTATTGACGTTTTATCATATGTACTTTAAAGTTTTCTGACCTGCTAAAAAAAAATCAAAACAGCAATATTTCGCCTACTGTAAAAGCAAAATAACATTTCTGGATGAGTGTTTGAGTGATCGTGACAATAGATATTTCACCTTAAATTTTTACTTGCAGATGATTTATAAAAAGGCAGTTAGGTTATTTTATCAAACTTACAATTAAAAGTGAATGTGATTAATGAATTCAAAATAAAATAACTAACTTTTACAGTAAGTATGTAATTATGACATTTTGACATAGATGATGACTCAGTACTATGAATTGAAGTTTTGTGATTATTAAAATAAAAACTTAACTGTTGTGAAAGTTGCTGTTCTTTTGAATTAATTATTCATTGCAGTAGGTTTATCAGTAAACAATAAATATCACCCATAAATAAACCATTAAAATATTGCAAGGGTTTTGATTGCTTGTAATTCATTGTAATTGTGGAATTCCAGTCTAAATAATCTTCAATACAGTGTTGTCTACATTTTGTTGACAGTAAGATATAGTGGTTTGAACTGTATAGCAGTAATAAACATATGCCTGTATATGTGCCAGGCATGTATTTATTAACTGTTTGTTTTTTTTTTTTTTTTTTCTGTAAGTGATAGAATTTGTAATCCAGTTGTTTGAAAGTTTGTTTTGGATATCTGTGGTTGTTAAAGTTTAATAATTTCCTAAATTTCTTTTTTTTTTTTTTTACGTTTGTACCTTGGTTGCGTAGTTGGTTGTTATTGTTTTAGTCAGTTACAGTACTGTTACCTATTTATTTAGACTA